CCGGCGGGCGCATCGCGCGGCGTGCAGAGTGGAACGCCCGGTGGTTGCGCGGCGGCGCAGGCGTGCTGGGCCCCATGGTGTACGACACCGGTCCTGCGTTGTCGGACTGGTACCCCTTTCCTAACCGCTTGACACCCGTCGTCGCCATCAAAAATCTGTCGTACACGCCCTCCAGCCGCCGCTGGCTTGGCGTGTCGGGCACAGGCGCCTCAGGCACGGTTGGTTTCCGCGCGGGGTAGGGTTCCACGTGGAACGGGGACGCTGTAAGCTCGTCGAAAGACCGCTCGACGGCCTGCGATCGGTCCTCTTCCTCGACAAGCCGAGGAGTGGAGGACGCGATGAAGAGGCTTCGATCCAGGACGTCTGAAAGACGGGGAGAAGGCAGCGGAACAACGGCTGCACCAGACCGTTAGATTACTGTACTCGAGAAAACGAAACAAAGGATCTCTCACGTTTAGCAAGCTCCAACTCCAGAAGCGCAACGGGGGTAATGCGACGCTGGAGCAGGTCGACATGGGACCTGCTCTTTTCCTTCCGCTTCGACGGAGAACCAGTCTCAATTTCGAGGTCGAAAGAAGTGTCTGCGGGCTCGGGGGACCGCGCACTGACCGTCGCGCGGCGCGGCCGAGTCGGGGTGCGCAATCCAGCCATAATCTGGCTTGTGCCCTCGCTGAAATCCGCATTCGCGACAGTGGAATTGGCGGTGGCGTCCATCGAGGACAGGTTCTGGCTCGAGTCCGCGGGGTCGGCGAAGATCTGGCTTGCTGCAAGGACCTTGCGCGGCAGCCGGGAAGAGCGATAGGTATGGGTCTGAGATGTTGCACGAGAAAGAGGGGCCAGCGGAAGCGGGGGAAGTGGTGTTACTTCCGTGGAAGACGAAGCGAAGTTTTGGCGAGCATCCTCGACGACTTCTGCAGGATTTTTAAAAAAAAAGATGAGCCAAGTGGAAATGGTCCTAATAGAAGAGACGAACGCTCTACGTTACGCATCCAGATCGCCATGCGGTCCATGCGGTTGTCTGCTGCTACTCGCTCGTTGTGCACTGCATGTCTAACGACGGGAAGCGACGATTTGGCTGAGATACCATGTAAGCATCGATGAGAGTCAAGGCAAGTTGACCCTACCATCACGCTCCAAGGCCTCGTCCTCCCACGACTCACGTCGCAAGCTCGGACTCCGGCGGGATATAGTATCGTCTTGCAGCTCGGCGGACAGTGTCCGGGAAGAAACGTTGCGATTGGTGCCCTGCGCCAGCGCTGTGTTTTTGTAGAATTGTAGTGTCTTGTCTGCGATACATTCATCAGCACCGGGTAGACGGAATATGGTGGTGCGACCGTACCAAATGATAATTTAACGCTGTGTTTGAAGCTATTGATAGCGAAACTGCTGCTGCCTCGAGGGGAGGTATTGACGGTTGGCGTATTGACAGTTTGCGAGGACACCTGAGTTTGCACCTCTGCAGCGACAATCAGCACCAGACAAACAACGTATAAGTCGTCTTACCGGGTGTGGGTGGTGGAGCCACCGGACGTGGAGGCGAAAGGACACCGGACGTATCGGCGGTCTGATTCTCCTTGTCCCGCTGACGCTCTCGAGCAGCAAGCACTCGCTGCTGCCGCGCGGCATGCTCCCGCTCCTCCTCAAACTGCGCATCCCGATCTCTCTCCAGTTCGTCGAGGCGCTCCATCTCGCGCAGTCGCTCCTTCTCCCGCTCCCACTCCCGCACGCGGTCCTTCACCGAATCCCGCTTGCCTCGGTCATTGACGTTGCGGTTGGCGGTGAGATCGGCCAAGGGTCTGACCTTGCGGGCGTCTTTGGCAACTTCTGCGACCGAGTGCGGCGCTTGGGGTAGGTTTTCGCGGGTCCGACCGCCGATGATTCCCAGAGGTTTGCGCGCATTGGCGGCACCGGTGATGGAGGTAAGGGACATGACGTTCTGCTTGGCCGAGATGGTTGGAGGCGACGCTGGCGGGGAGCCTTTGATAGGCGAAAGATCCACCTGCACGCGCTTCCGTGCTTGTACTTGGACTGACGGTCCCATAAGCGTCCAGAGCTTGGATAAGAAAAGCACAACATACTCTTCGAGGTGGTAACCTTCGGCTGGGATTTGGACTTGGTAATGCTACGGTGGAGGCTGTCACCCTCCTTCGAGAAGTTGCCACTTGAATGAAGGCCAGGGGGAGAAAGGTTCTCTTTGGCGTTGGCGGACAACGGGGATGCAAAGTCCACGAGTTTGGCCATGTCCTTCTCGAAGACCACTGACGACGTGTAACTGGAGGATCGTCCTGCATCGGTGATTAGCTCAACCCCCCTTCCTTGAGCGCAATGCTTGCTTACTGTGCAGGTTATCAGATTCCTTGGGTTGGCGCCAGTACGAGTCCTTCATGGCGTCAGAGGCGGTGCAGCGCAGATCAGCGTTGGGCGAGATCATCCTTCGGAGTAGTTTCTCGATGGCTTTGGACATCTTCCAACTCCCAACCCATTTCCCTCGAAGCTAAGGAGAAGTGAGCATATGCGTAAAAACGCGAAAGGTGTGACTGACAGTGCGCGCCCAGTACTTCTCGAGATCCTCTTTGGTAGAGAATTGCTCCGTGTCTGAATGCTCGAATGGTGTCCGGCCAATCAATATCTCGAAAAAGGTAATGCCGAGAGACCACACGTCGGACTTCCTTGTGTCATGGGGAAGACCGCGGGCGCGTTCAGGAGATAGGTACTGTGCGTAATGTCAGTAACCGCGTCCGTAAGGTGAATAAACGCGACTTGCTTCGGGGGTACCATAAGACAGGTTGCTGTGGAAAGCAGTACCCGACTTCATGTCATACTTCTCAGCAAATCCGAAGTCGACGAGAACGGGGATGTTCTTGCTGGAGAGCAGAATGTTGGCTGGCCTGAAGGAGAGATGAGTTATCGCGTGACGAGTGCGATAGAGCAGGCATACTTGATATCGTTATGGACGACACCGCGTTTATGAAGGAATTCGACGCCCGAGAGAAGGAAGCGGAACCATTCACAGGCTTTAGCCTCACCCACCTCGACTGGAACGAGTGTTGGAAGGTATGCCCTGACCGAAAAGAACGTTAGTTCATGGAGACATCGACATAAAGAGAAGTGGGGTTGACGCGCGACTAAGGCCAAAATTACGCGTCAAGGAGTCGAATGTACCTCTCTGAGGCGAGGATGGATGGTTTGAAGGACTCACATTGTGATCAACGCGTAAGAAGGAGTGATTATGAAGGAATGAAATGGGATGATCGAGGGGTGTGGATCCGCCTTGAATGAGCGCACAATCTTCATTTCATTCCACCTGTGCGCAGAAGGTGATTAATGTAGGCCGTGGGTGTGGATGAAGCGACATACAGTGATCTAACGCGTGCGGCAGTCGTGGAAGTCTTGGAGCGGTGGACGAGCTTGACCGCGATCTTGGTTTCCTGGAGTTTGACGAGGCCATCTGCGGTGGGAGAGTTGGGGTCCTCCTTTGGCCTGCATAGCCAGACGCTCCCCCAGTTGCCGAAGCCAATCTCCTCGACGAACTGTAGCTTGTCTGACAAGACTGATTCACGAAGACACAGGTGAGTCTGCAGGATCGAAACACGCGAAGGAGAATCACCTTGGTCGGAGAGGGAGAAGACGTCAGTAGAGCCCTCATGAGGATGAGGGTAGTCCATGGTGGTACACGACAGAACGAAAACAAGAGCGTCGCTCTGACTTTGATGGGCGTTGAACGGGCCCACGTGATGCGCGCTAAACTTTAACGGCAGCAGAGCGGCCAATCCCGAACGCAACGTGTTTTTCCACACACTTCGGCTCCAATCTGTTCTAATCATCCTGGGTGCGGATTGACGAGATAGGCACAAATGAATTTCAGCGGATACTACATCACTTGAACTGGAACCAAGTTCGCTATCGAAACGCGCTTTGAAGGCTTTCTTTCGCGAAAAATTGGAACGCTAGGCTGTAATTTGGAGTCTCATCGAAGTGGGCACAGTCGGCAACCCGGATTAGATGCCGCTACCGGTACCAATCGAGGACAAGGCCTCACGGCTAGATTGTGGCGAGGACTCACAGCTTGACTTGAACAGGAATTTGCTATAGAATGTAATAGTGATGTGCTGCTTTGTCGTCATCATCCCGCATTGGAATTGTGGCAGGACGATATCGCATTCCAGGCTTGTGTATCTTTTAAATGATAAACACACAACCAAAATGCCATCTAGATAGCATTTATATTCATGACAACACTTGGACGGTGGTATCAGCAGGTCTCTGATCCGCACCTCGTAGCTTCAAGTGTGATGTTAACGCGCAGTGGGCTTCATGGGGATGGAGCACCTCATTGACATCGAGCGCGAAGATGCCTACCGGTACGTGGATCTACCAAACAGATGGGCTCGCAAAGGAGGATGATTGAGCGGTAAGAAAGACGCCATAGAAACCGAAGACGGAGGGGATAAGACCTGATCAGTGGGCTGGGCGAGTATGCTGAGTTCGGGTGATTCAAGATATTAACTTCACGTTCGTTGAAACTCATCAGCTGTCCCCATCGATGGATTTTAAGCTCTTAGTTCAGTTCCCCAAATCCCTTCAAATATCTGGGTAGCGTAGCACGCCACGCACCATGAATCATTGTCATTGAATGTTTTCACTGCCAAAGAACACGTGATATTATACTCGACGCCCGCGGCCCAATAAGGAAGCTCAATGATACCAGGCTTCTGCCGTTGACAAAGAGCTCGATTCAAAAGACCGTCCAAATCTTCGGTCGTTCTCGCTCATTCCCAATGTTTCTTAGATTTTCCATGCCCGCAATTGACGGATAGAGAGATCGAGAAATGAGACGATAGATAGGCTCTGCCCTCGTGGTTTCCTATGCAAAAGGCGAGAAAAAATTTCACGACAGCAACCTATAATCCTGTGGTCTTGGAAACATCGCCAGCGACACTAGAGGAAGCAAAACGATGGGGGGGGGGGGGGGGGCGAAATAATCGCAAAAAGCAATCAATAGCCCACCGCGAGGGTCGAACTCGCAGCCTTCAGATGTCACTCCCGCCTTATGGATCAGGCTCGTAAAAGTCTGACGCTCTATCCGATTGAGCTAGGCGGGCATTGTAAGTTTACCGAAAGGACTGTGTCTGAGCGGGGAAGGACTCTGATAAGAATCGGTCGAACAACGTTGAGATTCGAATAACAAAGTTACAAACGCGTGAGATGCGGTAAAAACAAGGCTCAACTGACTTTCTGCACGGGGGGGATGCAGGAAAATAGCCCGAGGCCGGCCTGCATCAGGTGGAAGTGAGAGGATGAGCAATGGTCGAACTTGAAGGTCAGGTTGACACTGAAAATTGATATAACAAACAACGGAGACAGGGGAAAAATACTGCGAGTCGACAGTATATGTCCTTGTATCCATAAAACGGTCCTGTGGATCCATAGGTCGGGACTTGTCTGGGAGTGGATTAGAGTAGATGACTGACAATGTGACATACGTGACTCAGCGTGACACCGTCTGCTCTCAGCCTCAACCTCGCACGATGGCGGACGCTCCGAAGAGAATAGGCGAGTTGCAGAATCATATCCATGAGGCCGGTGGTCTGATGTCCGATCTAGTCATACGCGGGTCGATCGAGCAGATAGCAACCCTCACGGCCGCGTTTGTCGCCGATAAAACATCCAGTGCCGACGCCGACAGACTTGCCAAAGAGACCGGCCTGTACGCGTCCATGTGCAAACTTGATCGTAACCTGATCTGTTGCGCAGTCCTTCTCAGTGGATCAAGTCGTGGTTTGTGCGGTTCAGAAAGAAAGAATCGAAAAAGCGTGAAGCGACTCCGGACGAAGACGAAGCGCCCCCGAAGAAAAGAGGACGCCCTCGCAACTCCCCTCCTCCATCCGCCCGAGGCCAATTGCTATCTGTCAAAGCGGAGCCCGCACGAAACTTCGACTTGCCTCCTCCAGACGACTCGTATATGAGGGCCCCCAGCCCGATCGCCGACTACGCATCCACGTCCAATACCGCCCGCCGTCCTCTTCTCTCGTATACGCCGCTCCCCAGCTCCCATGGACATGCTTTTTACCTGAATCACCCTCACCTGGCTCCGGTGTCCGAGCAGCAAAAGCCTTCTAGTTCGCGTCAACTACCCTTGTATTATCTAAATGCGCCTCCCAGTGGTCCAATGCTCCTCCCGCCTCGCCCGTTGCAACTCCCGGAAAATATCAATCCTGCCCCTCAACACGTTTACGAACGAACGAAGGCTTGGGGCACAACCCCTGCATCCACCGTTATTATCGATCCACTCGCCTACAGTTCCACAGTGACCCCTGCCGCCTTGCTCGCTGTTGCCGACCGAAACGCATCTTCACATAATTCGACTCTTGCCTCTTCGAAATCAACAAGCCACTCGACGTTACTCCGCAGGACACCCTTTCCCACAAATCAGCAATCTGTACCTGGAGAACCCTCTCCGTTTCATGCCCCTCACAAGAACACACCAGCCCATATCCTGCAATCGCCAATCTCATCTCCCTTCTCCCAAGAGCCATCCAATCACACGCAATCGCTGATTTCTCCCTCCCACTTACAGTCGTACATGCCCGAGCATGATATTAAACAGGAAGACTCTAAATCCACCACCTCATTCAGCACGCCCATCGATGACAAGTTCCTGTTTAGCAGCGTAATGATCCTATGGCGCCAGGCTCTTTCGCTCATTGACGCTGGCTTTTAGATGCTCAATCTGACCCCCGGTAGCCCTGCGACGAGCAGTGATAACCACGAAGACGGCTCGTCCAGTATAGCCTCCAGCGGGCTAGACGTGCAGAAGGCGCCTCTCAAGCATCTCAGCGTCCTCCAGGCTGAGCTCCAGCAGCGGGTGGGAGACGCGAACACGGTGGAGGAGGTGTATGAGCGGTTGCTGGACGATAGTCTTGCTATGAGTGACCCGTTCCAAGCCGCGATGGGTCTGGTGTTCATGTCGAGGACTGGCTTGAGCTGGGATGATTAGCAACGTGTTGTATGTAGCCACAGCCTGTCGCAGAGATAGCATAGATTTTCGTGGTTCTAGACTCGCCGCTGTGATGTCGTTGTCCGTTGTTTGGCGGCCGCTCCGATACACAATCCTTTGAACTCGACATGGCATCCCGCTTGGGCCGTCAGGCTTTCTCGACCGCTCGCGCCGCCAGGTCCGTGCGCTCCAATGTACACCCGCCCAGGCGCCTCATGAGCGCGGACGCGGCCGCCCACCACGAACCGTTCAAGCCAAAATCTGACCTACCCTGGATTGTGGGTCGAACTCACACATGGACTCAATGGTAACTTGACAATCCCCTTCAGATAGGCGCGGTGGCCGTCGCCGGCCCATGTGTGAGCTATTCGCCATACCATTTTGGCAGCAATGGACTGAGTCGCGTCATCAAAGCTAGCGTACCTACTCAAGGACACCGTTGCTATCAAGAAAAAGATAGCGGAGGGCCACCATGGACATGACTCGCACGACTCGCATGCGGCGCACGCGGATGCGGCGCACGGGGAGACGCACGAGGATCATGCTGCCCCGGCGGTGATGAATGATGACGAAGGGACGGAGGTGGATGTTTCGAGCGCAGTTAACGATGCTACCGTACGTCGGCTGCCTCGTGTGTATCTCACTAATAACCCAAATGGCCACTTCAGGCGGCGGATGCGCCAAAGGCAGCTGGCGCAGTAAGCATATCCTCGAGTCGCGTGCAAAGACCCTGACGCGTTGGTCTCTCTCACACAGAAGTCTGACGATTCGGTTGCTGATGCTGTGAGTTCCCTGGTGCGATCTTAGCGCCGAAACTCATCTATGACTCGACCCGACAGGCTGCTGAGCCACCCAAAGACGAGCACGACGACAGCGAAAAGCAGGAGAGCGAGAAAGAGGAGAGCAAATGAAGATGGTGGAAAGTTTGGTGCGTGTTCGCGATCATATGGACTGAATCTCGTTGACGGTATGCCTATAGCGGAACTGAACCGGGGTACAAGGCCGGACTGGAACAGCTACTTATTTTGTTCCCCAGAGAATACACTTTGTTCAAGCCCGCTCCTCAGTTTGTCTCCTGGAGACCGGGCTTTTCTTGACTGAGATCGTTAGAACGTTCTCCCCGCGTCTCAGGGATCATTTGCTGAGCGGCAGGAACAGCTCCGCCTTTTATAAAAACACTTGACGTCAGATATCTACCATTCCTTCTACGAAAGCTGTAGATGAATTGGGTTTCACTGCCACGAAACTGCTAAGGCCTTTGTCGGACCACCTGGCTTTGATTTTCCCTCCAGGACTGGCATATCCCATGGCCCTTATTCTCTTCTGTCTGGCTCTTCATCCTTCCCTGTGTTGGTGGGCAGACCTTGAGTCCTGTTGACGCCCGCCGTTTTTCGTCGAATCAATGTCCGAGAGCAGCGCACGTTGACATCATATGGCGTCCCACACTCTGCCTCTGCTCGTAGAATTTATGATATGTGGAATCGATGCGGAGCCATCTTGGTTCGCCAAAAATTTCAGGTAAAAAATAGATTGCCGTGTAAAGACTTGGTGGAAGTACGCCGACGCAACTGCTTAATTCTACCCAGCCTCTACAGCTTTCTTCTTTCCTGTTACATGAACCGCCTGATGCCCAATCCATCATACTATGCAATACAAGTTCCCACTTGGACATCTAGAATCCCGAAGAGCCCGATCCTCGATCATTCCACACTACAGCTATATGTATGTCCTGAGATTACACCGCCCCGCACTCTCCCTCCCCACTCCCTCCAGCGTATGTCTCAAACGCTTGCAATTCGCCCCTTTTCCGCATCTTCATCCATTCTTTCATTGGATTCGCAGCGGACAACAACCGATACTTCGACCGTATGGGGTCCCGGTACTGTCTCTGGAAGAGCTCTGCTTGCTCTCGGAGAGGTTACGATCCGTGGAATTGATGCACTCTTGATTCGGCGCAGACTCGCGACTATCCGGTTGCGTTCTCCTGCCCTGTCGGCATCCATGTGCGATGACCTGTTGGAACTCTGCCGGTGAGCTTAATATTCCCTCAACCAAAGTCTTCAAACATTCAGACGTGGTATTGATATATGTATAGCCCGGCCATGTATTCTCCACGGATCCAGAAGGAGGCTGTTCGCTTGGTTTTGACGCAGATTTGTGTAGACTTGAAATATTCCATGCTCGTTCTTGCCCTCTGCAAATGGCCTGAACGTGAAGCATATCTGATTCTGCATGTCCTGATGGCCAATTTATCGTGAGTGTTCTATTCTTTCTGAATAGCATTCTATACAACGCTTGTTCTGCTCAGAGAGCCTTTGCATCCTTCTGGATGGCAGCTGAAAGGAATGGCTGACTTCCTCGTCGCAATAATTCAGGCCAAGGAACAGTGGGAAAATATTGTAGTGAACGCTGCGCTTTTGCTTCGCGGTGATTTCCAAGTTCAGCCACTCGCTAGCCATCCCATCCACATACTCTGTTCCGAAATTGCCCCAAATGCTCGGGAGCCACTGTCAACGCTACAGAAAAGCTATTCCTCTCACATGCGTTCAGAAACGTGGCTATCCCTTCACACGTGTGGGCTAGATTTGCAGGATCGGATGCTCAGGATTGAAAACATTGTAAATCAAATCTCAAATCCAGATCTTTCACCCCAATTATTGGATGCCATCTCCGATGCCGTCATTTTTACAAGGCAAGATTGTCTTCAAATCAGTGTTGGTTGGCATGGTATCTCAACAGAGTTTTTTTTTTCACTTCCAGATCGGATTTCGACTTCGAGCTTCAATCGTTGGCCCTCTCTTGCCTGAGGAAGATACACGGCGCTCGATGGAAACCTGTCTGTGAATTCTTTGAGTTCCCGTCCGGAGAAATCGTCAGCGAATTGCGGCGCACAGATTTCAACTTGCAACGGTGAGGTCACATTGCCGCAACGAACCGTAATGAACTTACCTTGTCGACGTCCTTGCCGTTCAGCCGTAGAGAGTTGTCCACCTCAGAGGTAGCAGATGCGCATGCAATTATGCGTAAAGTGTCATCGAATGCATCCCATAATATGTGGGATAAAATGGTTAAACTCTGCTTGTAATTCATGTTTTCACTTCTCAG